CCCTCGCTTTTCTCTTGATGAATCTCTTCACCCATACTCTTGAATATTTAATAATGTCCCAGACCCTGTGTGAGGCACAGGGGACACAGCAGGGAATAAGGTTTTCGAATTCTCCTCTGCAGTCTAGTGGGTGACCCAGGCTTTAAACAAATAAAAGACCATGCCATTTGACAACTGATTGTTTAGTAAACAAAATAATGAAAATGAATCAAGGTTATGGGTAGAATTGGGTATGGGGAGAATACTAGTTTAGATGGGTGGACCGGGAAGGCCTCACAGARGAAGAGGCATTTGAACTGGGACCTGAAAGAAAGGAAACCAAACAAGGGAATGTGCAGGTCCAGGTCCTGAGATGTGAGCCGAGGAAGGGGAAGGGCAGAAAGGAGGGCCAGGAGTGGACCCCACCTGCTATGCAGCCAAGGTAAAGGCTCCCACTTCCAGTGGTTGTCATCGGGCACCTTTCATAGATTTTCAACAAGGAGTCCTGTGGTCTGATTGACGTTTGAAAACTGGTACAGAGGTAGGGGGAGTCCTATAGAGAACTCCACATGTACTCTGTACCCAGGTTCCACCGCGATCAACTACACCTCCAACCAGTTGCTACCGCATTAATTTTAAGCAAGTTCTACATGTTGTCCATGAATAGATTTAGTATGTTTGTTTTTATTTCAATAGTTATCACATTTGGAAATCTTTTTTTTTTAACTTTTTTTTTTTGAGAGAGAGAGAGAGAGAGAATTTTTTTAATATTTTTTTTTAGTTTTCGGTGGACACAACATCTTTGTTTGTATGTGGTGCTGAGGATCAAACCCGGGCCGCATGCCTGCTAGGCGAGCACGCTACTGCTTGAGCCACATCCCCAGCCCTACATTTGGAAATCTTAACTCAAGTTCCTTAATGTCACAGACCTGAAATATAATCAACTTTCCTCCATCAAAAGACAGTTGCTTTGTTCAAATCTGAGTCCACACAAGGTCCACAAGTTGCCGTGGGTGGGCATAAATCTTGACAACATATGATTTTCTCCTGTATATTTTTTTTCCCTTCAATTTATTTCTATTTAAGAAACTAGATCTTTTTTCCTGTGGAATTTCCCACAACCCGTATTTTTCCCTTCTCTGGGGCATCTTTGACATATTCCTCTGTTTTTGAACTTTCTGTACTTTGTTGGTTAATATCTGGAGGCTCTGCTAGACTCAGACTTGAGGTTTTGGCCAAAAATACTCCCTACAGCATTTTTTTTTTTCCCCATTGAAAACATTGCGTGGTTGCTGTGAAGAGAATGAACTGTAGCAGGACAAAGTAGAAAGAGGCCAGTTAGAGGCCTGGTAAAGGGGTGGACAGGGTGATGACCATGGAGACAGGGAGACCCTCGCCCTCTGGCTTGGATAGAGCTGACAGGGTGGGGATTGGATGAGGCCGTGAGAGGAAAGGACGCATCTAGAATGATCCTAGGTTTAAGCCGACACTTTCAGGGGACTGTGAGGGACAAATTCTTTCACATTGCAATTTTCCCCAGATGTCTGGTGATCCATGACTGTTCATGTTAAGAAAACGGGTCAGCGTGATCCCAGCGACTTGGGAGGCTAAGGCAGGAGGATCACAGATTTGAGGCCAGAATGGGCAACTCTGCAAGACCCTGCCTCAAAACAAAAAGGTGCAGAGATGTAGTTCAGTGGCAGAGCACCCCTGGGTTCAATCCTGGTATTGSAAAGAAAAAAAATGAAGAAGAAGGAAGAAAATAAATGGTCAGTGTACAATAAAATAAAACAAAGAAAACAACATCAAAATTAAAACAAAAAGAAAATGAGTGAGTGCAAAGGCCCCCGTCCTACAGAAGGTGCTCAACAAAAGGCTTCCAGTCCTAATATTCTAGAAAGCCAATTGTTCTTGTTAAATAAAAATTACAGGAGGCCACAATTCTGACTCCTGCACTGGGACCCAGCAGGCCAGTCCAAATATGAAGATGGAGTCACCCATGTTACCTGACCATCTGAAATCGGGAGAATGAGGTCAACAGCCAAATTTCCCAAACAGGCCAATAGCATGACACTGAGATTCCCTCTGCCTTAATCCTTAGGTCCCTTAATCACTCAATCCTTACAAAAAATAACCTTGAAGTTGACCTGTCGGCTATTTTGTTCTGTCTCCCTGTCCCTGCCTTAGGAGGACGGTGACTTTGGAATGACCAGTCCTTTCTGCTCTTCGTCTCTTTTCCCAGCCCTTCTCTGCTTCTCTCTCTCTGCAGCCCACCTCTGCTGCCCAGCCCCTTGGAACACTTATTCTGTGCCATGGAATGCAGCGTTGCCTGGTTCTAGAATGGAAAATAAAGCCGGTTGACACCTTCACACTGTAGTAGTTTTTGCCCTTCGCCACTCTGGATGTGACGATGACAGTCACCCAGCATTTAGTAGAGTAGCTTCRCTGGAGAGCTGGATCCTGGTGAGCTTTGTCTTTTTATTGCGAAATATTTTTGAACTTATACAAGAATTGGAGAATAAAATTAATCAACATACCTTTCACCTAGATCTACTAGTTATCTAATCTGCTGCAGTCTTTTTGCCACAGCTGCTGGGCCAACTCTTGTTGACTTGCTTTTTGTTTCCTGAACCATTTGAGAAAACAAGATGGAGGGCTGGGGATGTGGCTCAAGCGGTAGCGCGCTCGCCTGGCATGCGTGCGGCCCAGGTTCGATCCTCAGCACCACATACCAACAAAGATGTTGTGTCCGCCGAGAACTAAAAAATAAATATTAAAAATTCTCTCTCTCTCTCTCCTCTCTCACTCTCTCTTTAAAAAAAAAAAAAAAGAAAACAAGATGGAAATCCTGATCCTTACTCGTAAGAACCCATGTTTATTTCTTTTTCTTTTAAGAGTTCTTTTTTTAAAGAGAGGGAGAGAGAGAGAGAGAGAGAGAGAGAGAGAGAACTTTAATATTTATTTTTTAGTTTTTGGCAGACACAACATCTTTGTTKGTATGTGGTGCTGAGGATTGGACCCGGGCCGCACTCATGCCAGGCGAGTGCACTACCGCTTGAGCCACATCCCCAGCTCCCCATGTTTATTTCCTAAGAGCAAAGTCACCCACAGAACAGTTGCCAAGATAATTTAACATCAATACAATACTGTTATCTAATCTGCAGTCTTAGAAATGGTTTTACAATTGTCCAGTAATGACCTTTACCACGATTTTTTTTTCTCCAGCCTAAGGTCCAATGCAGCATCATAAATGACATKCAGTGGTCTTCATTTCCTACGGATGTTGTAACAAAGTGCTACAGACTGGGGGGCTTAAACAGCAGAAGTCACTGTCTCAGTTCTAGAGGCCAGGAGTCTGGAATCAAGCTGTCCAGAGTGGGTTCCCCTGAGGCTGTGAGGGACAATCTGTTCCAGGCCTCACCTTTAAAAGGCTTCCAATGATGTGATTGTGTGTGTGTGTGTGTGTGTATGTGTGTGGGGCTAGGATTTGAACCCGGGGCCTCAGGCAGGCCAGGCAAGCACTTACAACTGCGCTACATCCTCAGCCCCAGTGTCTGGTGATTTGTGGGCAATCCTTGGCATCCCTTGGCCTGTATTCGCATCACCCTCTCTGCTTTGATTTTCAGTTGACCTTCTCCTTAAATTGTGTCTGTTTCTATATCCAGATTGTCCCTTTTTTATGACACCACTCATGTTGGGTTAGGACCATCCTGAGGACCTCTGCAAAGACCTGTCTCACATGAAGGGCACATTCGGAGGTCCTGAGAGTTCTCCACTGGGTCTTTTTGGGAGGACACAGTGCAGTCCACAGTGGTTGTCATGTTGTTGTCATCTCTTAGCTGAGCGCTCTGTCTGCTGTGACTGTTGCGCTTCAGAATTACAATAAGCTTGTTTCCCACAGTGTCCTCAATTCAGTCGTGGCTGTTATTCCTTACAGTCAGGTGACACATAGGCAGGAATACAACAGCAGTGCCATGCCTTCTCAGTATTTATCAGRAGGTCCACAACAGCTGTATTTGCTAAGGTTCTCCACTGTGAAGTGCATCCCTTTTCCCTTTGTAATTAATAAGGAGTCTGCAGGGAGACACATCAAGTCTATTTCTTATCAGACTTTTGTAGTATTTTTTTAGCATCCATTGACAATTTGTCCCCAAATCTGTCTTTATTGTAGTGATTACAAATTTTTTTTAATATTTATTTTTTAGTTATAAATGGACACAGTGTCTTTATTTTATTTTTATGTGGTGCTGAGGATCAAACGCAGAATCTCATGCATTCT